GTAAAAATCTTTCAAAAAATCTTCTCAAGAACCACTGGGCCAGAAAGGCTGAATCTAATGTGGAAGCATTCTAGGGTAGTGCAGATTCTAAATTGTTCAAATCATGACCCCTGGGGGTAGGGCGGGGCCACAATAGGGAATCCAAGTTTGACATTGAAATATGCAGAAAAAATCTTTAAAAATCTTCTTCTGAAGAACTACTATGCCAGAAAGGCTGAAACTTATATAGAAGCATCCTGGGGTAGTGTAGATTCTAATTGTTTAAATCATGACCCCTGGGGGTAGGGCAGGGTCACAATAAGTACTTCAAAAGGGGGGGGGGGGGGGGTCAGGTGAAAAACAGCAAGGCCAAAGTTACTCAGGTGAGCGTTTTGGCCCATGGGCCTCTTGTCTGTTTTAGGTTACATATGACAACTTAACTGTTTTAGGTTATCTATGACAACTTAACTGTTTCAGGTTAATTGTGACAACCTTACTGTTTAAGGTTACCTATGACAACTTTACTGTTTTAGGTTACCTATGACAATTTTTCTGTTTTGGGTTATCTATGACAACTTAACTGTTTATGACAACTTAACTGTTTCTGGTTAATTGTGACAACTTTACTGTTTTAGGTTACCTATGACAACTTTTCTGTATTAGGTTATCTATGACAGTTTTTCTGTTTTAGGTTACCCATGAAAACTTTACTGTTTTAGGTTATCTATGACAACTCTACTGTTTTAGGTTACCTATGACAACTTTACTGTTTTAGGTTATCTATGACAACTTTACTGTTTTAGGTTATCTATGACAACTTAACTGTTTTAGGTTATCTATGACAATTTTTCTGTTTTGGGTTATCTATTACAACTTTACTGTTTTAGGTTACCTATGACAACTTTACTGTTTTAGGTTACCTATGACAACCTTACTGTTTAAGGTTACCTATGACAACTTTACTGTTTTAGGTTACCTATGACAATTTTTCTGTTTTGGGTTATCTATGACAACTTTACTGTTTTAGGTTACCATTGACAACTTTACTGTTTTATGTTATCTGTGACAAAGTAACGGTTTTAGATTAACTATGATAACTTAACTGTTTTAGGTTACCTATTACAACTTTACTGTATTAGGTTATCTATGACAACTTTGATGTTTTAGGTTATTTATGACAATTTTACTTTTTTTAGGTTATCTATGACAACTTTATTGTTTTAGGTCATCTTTGACAACTTTATTGTTTTAGGTTACCTATGACAACTTTATTGTTTTAGGTTATCTATGATGACTTTATCGTTTAAGGTAACTTTTGACAACTTTACTGTTTTAGGTTATCTATGTCAACTTTATTGTTTTAGGTTACCTATGACAACTTTACTGTTTTAGGTTACCTATGACAACTTAACTGTTTTAGGTTAACTGTGACAACTTTACTGTTTTAGGTTACCTATGACAACTTCACTGTTTTAGGTTATCTATGACAGTTTTTCTGTTTTAGGTTAACTATGACAACTTAACTGTTTTAGGTTACCTATGACAACTTTACTGTATTAGGTTATCTATGACAACTTTGATGTTTCAGGTTACCTATGACAACTTTACTGTTTTAGGTTACCTATGACAACTTCACTGTTTTAGGTTATCTATGACAGTTTTTCTGTTTTAGGTTAACTATGACAACTTAACTGTTTTAGGTTACCTATGACAACTTTACTGTATTAGGTTATCTATGACAACTTTGATGTTTCAGGTTACCTATGACAATTTTACTGTTTTAGGTTATCTATGACAACTTTATTGTTTTAGGTTATCTATGACAACTTAACTGTTTTAGGTTACCTTTGACAACTTAACTGTTTTAGGTTACCTATGACAATTTTACTGTTTTATCTTACCTATGACAACTTTACTGTTTTAGATCACCCATGACAACTTTATTGTTTTAGGTTATCTATGACAACTTAACTGTTTTAGGTTACCTATGATAATTTCACTGTTTTGGGTTACCTGTGACAACTTAACTGTTTTTGGTTTTCTATGACAACTTTACTGTTTTAGGTTGCCTATGAAAACTTTACTGTTTTAGGTTACCTGTGAAAACTTTACTGTTTTAGGTTACCTATGATAATTTCACTGTTTTAGGTTACCCATGACAACTTTACTGAAGTGTGAGCAAGTGTTAGACAGCCTGGAAATGTCAAAGCCGCCTGTAAGTAAACACTATTGACCTTCTATTGCTTATGGAAGACAATTACATACTAAAAATTGGAAGCTGTAGGTTCCACTTGTATAAACCCATTTGTAATAATGAATTTCAATTCATACAATCATTTGAAATACTTTGCTGCTTAAACTGCCTGCAAATTCTTAATGTTGCCACTGTCAAAAGATTTAAGTCATAATAACTATTATACACATTACTATATTAAACTAAAATTTATATCTTTTTTAATAGAGTGGTGCTGGATCTGTTCCCTCCACCACTCCTACAATCACCACCACCCCAATGCATATGTGTCAGCCACTGCTGGATGCTGTGGCAACCAATATGAAGTCCCCAATGTTTAACCATGCTTTACAGCAGACATTCGGCCCAGCCATGACAGCTCTCTTTGGAGCACCAATAAGGTAATTTAAATCCCTGAGCTGGTAATACATACAAATTTATATAACGACAATGTCAGTTCCTGGTAGCAGAATGTTGATATATCTTCAGAGCCCCGAGTCCACCACCAAAGAAGAGGAAGAGGGAGGCAGAGGAAGACGAGGAGATTCCTCACATCCTTCAGGGAGAGATCGCTCGTCTAGGTGGACGATTCCGAGTCAATCTCGATTCAACTCAGCACTCAGATTCCAAAGACATCCATCTTGTTTGTAAAATAGGTATTATATGATTCATTATATAATGTAACGCAACTTTCCTTCACAACTGCTTTCTTTCACGATTTTGTCTAACACCACTTGTGACCCAAAGCAGTTTAAGACTGGAATTTAGTGACTTTCATTCCTGCTTTTGAAAACAAGAGTCATAAAATTCTTACTTTTTAGCTCACCTGAGCCGAAGGCTCAAATGAGCTTTTGAGTGGCCTCTAAAATTTAGGCACCAGCTGGCACCTTATCAACACAAATTAAGTCGCCAATGCTAATTTTTAGTCGCCAGGCAATTTTTCTAAGGCGGCAACTTTAAAAGTAAATAGAATATAGGGATCCATGATGTGCCTAAGAAAACATGACATGTCCATTGCTAAAAATAAGTTTCTCTTCTTTTAAATTTCTTTTTCGCTTTTTCAGAAAAATTGTTAAAAATGTGAAAGTTTCTGGAATTCGACAATCGCCATGTCAATTTAAAATGGTCGCCAATATGGCGACTAATGGAAAATTTTTAGGCGCCAATCAAAAATTTTAGGCACCATGGTGACTAAATTAGTCACCAGTTGGAGCCTTGCTGATCAAAAAGTGTCCGTCTATGTAAGTGTCTGTAAACTTTTCACATTTTTGACTTCTTCTCAAGAACCATGGGCTAATTTCAACCAGACTTGCCACAAAGCATTCTTAGATTAAGGGGATTCAAGTTCACAGGAAGTGTTGCGCCCTCTTTCAAGGGGAGATAATTAAGAATTCGTGAAAATATGGTGGCATCTTTTGAACAACTTCTTCTCAAGAACCCTTAAACCAAAAAAGTTGAAACTTATATGAAATATTCATTACATAGTGTAGATTCAAATTTGATCAAGGTCCCCAGGGGAAGGGTGGGGCCACATTGGGGAAGTGAAGTTTTACATTGGAATATATAGGAAAAAACTTTTAAAATCTTCTCAAGAACAAGAAAGCCACAATTAGTCTTATTGATATTGAAGCATCCTCAGGTAGTGTAGATTCAAGTTTGTTCAAAACATGACCTCCGGGGATAGGGTGGGGGATCAAAGTTTTACATAGGAATATATAGGGGAAAAACTTTTAAAAATCTTCTTCTCAAGAACAACAAAGCTATGATTAGTCATATCGATTGGAAGCATCCTTAGATAGTGTAGATTCAAGTTTGTTCAAATCATAACCCCTGGGAGTAGGGTGGGGTCATAATGGGGAATCAAAGTTTTACATAGGAATATATAGGAAAAAATCTGGTTCTCGAGAACAACAAAGCCATGATTAGTCATATTGATATGGAAGCATCCCCAAGTATTGTAAATTCAAGTTTGTTCAAGTCATTTTCCAGCTGTAGGGTGGGGCCATAATGGGGGATCAAAGTTTTACATATGAACATATATAGGAAAAAATCTTTAAAAATCTTCTCATAAACAGCAAAGCCATGATCAGTCATATTGACATGGAAGCATCCCAATGTAGTGTAGTTTCAAAATCGTTCAAGTCGTGCTCCCCCCCCCCCCCCCTTCCCCAGTGTAGGATGGCAGACAACATCATTAAAATTCTGTTTTCAAGAACAGCAAAGCCATGATTAGTCATATGAATATGGAAGTATCCTCAGATAGTGTAGATACCTGGGGGTAGGATGTGGCTAGTACAGGCAATCAAAGTTTTACTTATGAATATGTTGGAGAAGAAATCTGCTGATGAAGAAAAGCAGGGCCATATTGACTCACATGAGCGATATGGCCCATGGGCCTCTTGTTATCCTTAATACTGTCTTAAAAGTGTGAAACACAATAAAACAGATCAGTTCATGGATTTTCTTTTAAAAAAATATATACAATTAACGCAATTAGGAATACAAACAATTAATTTGTACAAATAAGTATTTATTGAATATATTTTATCAAAATTAATAAGATTCAAAACTATGATAAAGGACAGGGAACAAGAAAACAAGTATATACTATTTGATATTCATATTTAGTATGCATAAACTTTGAAAATTGCTAGAAAATGATTCCCTGATTCAAGACACTTCCTGTCATATGTGAACATTTTAGAATTTCCCTTGATACATTGCTAAATACTGGTTTGACTGTATATTTCAAATTTAAGTAATGTGTGGATGTTTCAGTTTATACTTCAGTACACAGTATACACTTGATTTATTGTATGGTAAAAGTCGCACTAACTTGACTGAGCTGGTAACATATAAGTCTGTTATAAACATTTACATATTGCTTTCTTGTTTATAGATGACAAAAATCTGCCCTGTGTTCCTCCAATTTCTGTAAAAGTTCCTGAGCTCTACCCCAGTGTCAGTCCTCAATGTGATACAAAGGCACAAGACTATGGTAAGTAGGACAGGACGGTGAGCCCAAGTGTTAGTATACAGACCCAGACATAGGACAAGGAACACGACAGTGACCCTTTTATTTAGTCCACAGTGTGATACAAAGGCACAGGACTATGATAAGTATACAGACCCAGACATAGGACGAGGGGATAGGACAGTGACCCCCTGCATCTCTACATGGGATATATCAGAATCATGGATATGTCATTTGCAGATTTAGCCATGTGAACAATTTTTTACTAAAATAAGATTGCATACAATATGAATTATTTGAATTTATTTACTGAGTGAATGACAATTATACATTGCAAAAAATTTGCTCATAGGCAATTTCGGCACATATGAGATTCACATATGATGCCCTTTATAGCTCACCTGAGCCAAAGGCTCAAATGAGCTTTTCTGATCACTTTTTGTCCAGCATCGGTCTGTCTGTCCATCTGTCTGTCTGTCTGTAAACTTTTAACATTTTCGACTTCTTCTCAAGAACCACTGGGCCAATATCAACCAAACTTGCCACAAAGTAACCTTGGGTGAAGGGATTCAAGTTTGTTCAAATGAAGGGCCATGCCCTCTTTCAAGGGGAGATAATAAAGAATTAGTGAAAAATTAATAGCATCTTTTAAAAATCTTCTTCTCAAGAACCACAGGGCCAGGAAAGATGAAACTCATGTGGAAGCATTCTCAGATAGTTTAGATTCAATCTTATTCAAATCATGACCCCCGGGGGTAGGGCGGGTTGTCATTGTCATCTTTGTTGTCGTGGTTGTCATAAATTTTTCACACTTTTTATCTTCTTCTCCAGAACTACTTGGCCAATTTCTTACAAACTCTTCTCATGAACAATAGACCAAATTTAGTGATTTTTAATATGCAAACATTGTCAAGCCATGTAGGTTCAAGTTTTATACCTCTGGGGATAGGGTGGGCCACAATGGAGAATCAACGAAAAAATGTTTTTAAAAATTGCATAAAGAATAGCATGGTCAAATCATGAAAACTATGTACAAGTCATGAATGAAGCACAACTGACCAAATAGTTTTGCCGCTTAGAATGGCAGTATAAATATGGAGAAATTTTTATGGTCTCGATTTCACGCCCAGTAGGGATATTGACAACAGTTTTGGGGAATGTTTTGTTGTGAAAGTGGTACAAGAATATGTTAGGAAAACACAGTAATATTTTGAGATGGCATCTGCAATATACGGAAAAATAAATCAAGAAATAGCACACTTTCGTGAACCATAAATACAAAATTTTTTCAGTGGGTGGCACTCTAGCTCTCTGATCATCCATCCCAATTTTTTCAGACCAGCAAGCTACATATCTGCACCTATAATCACTTGTATCCCCTTGTGTTCAGGGTTTTTTATGTATTACAGTGTATAATTGCTATGTTTTCAGAGTCGAGTCCATTCCTGTCTTCCATACAAGAATCCCTTTCCCGCTTACTTCTACAGATGCCCAGTAAATATACATTCACAGAGCTTATGGATAAATGGGTAAATACTTCCTTATTTATTAATTTTGTCTGCTAATCTCTTTTTACTTGTCAGACATCATAGAAATTCTTATCAGGTTAGCCTGCATTTTCATTGTAAAATATAAAAAGATTGTTCTCAACCTCTTGTTTGAGTTGAAAAACAGTTTTAACTTTTGAAGATGTTTGTTGATTTTGCAGGAGATGAGCATAAGAAGAGCGTGCGCAGCACCATCCTAGGGTTGATGGCTGTGATAGATAAACTGTGTGTGGATGGGATACTAAGAAAGGCTGTGTGAGAGAAACTTTTGATTGTTTGATGAATATGAATAAATTTTATGTGTCATTTACTGTATATATATATATTGTGAATTGTTCACATGACTGTTGTTGAAGATATGACAATAAATGATTTTTCGAATCTTTTGTGTTTACAAGAGTTATCTCTCTTGTGTCGTGGTTCTGTTTGGGTTTTGTTCACCTTTTCCTCCTCCTTTTGACTTTTGTCTCCTCAGCTTGACCCGATCAGAACAGGCACTGTGAAATTTAACACGCTTGTTATCAAGTGACCCTAAATAATTTTGTGATGGCGACAATCGCCTCTATAAAATCTTTGGACGTCTCCATAATGAAAGGAGGAGGGAAAATAATTGACGCGTGGTCTATAGGTTCGTCAGAGTTTATTGGGAATATTTTGCATAAATGATAAAATAACAATGAATGTGAACTAAATGGTTAACAGTGACGGGGCCTTTGTCGGTCGGGTGAAAAGCATGGTCAACCAGGGTGAATTTTACAGAAAGCTACATATTGTGGCAAGTCACTTGTCAGCTTACAGAATGATTGTCCATTGCTGATCAAATCAGCAAGCACTTACATTGTATATTAGTCTCCCGGATGGGTGAAGTTGCGTTTATTTAGATTCATCGTTACAATACATTCCAACATATAATTCAGTATAACATTTACATTTGATATATTGTGACTGTGAACAAAATTTTGACGAATTATACTTGAAGGAACTAAGTTTTTCTCTGTTTACGTTAGAATTAAACGACTTGCATATGGTCAAGCTGTTCACGTAATAATCACTGATAACTGGTAATGATGTATCGGAGTAGCTAGGTTGAAGAGTATCTGATCCTGTGAGGAGTTTTCAAAATGCATTGCATTTTTCTAAATGTAACGTGGGACCAGTTTATGCGAACTTTTTTCACACAGGCGACTTGACGTTTTAAACACACTGATAAACATTTCTGTTCTGAATAAAAAATTGTACATACTATAATACTATAAAAGCTTTCATTATAGTCTGGAGAATTTTTCATTTGGAAAAAGAAATGTTTAACGGTGTTTAAAACGTCAAGTGTATGTGGTTTTTCACCACTAGATATCATCAGGGTATTGTTTCTTTGGTAGTATAGTAAGGTGTTTTCCTTTTTTATGCGTGATAAGTTAATGAGGTTAATGAAGGAAATTTTTAATATGGGATCTCGACTTGTACAAGAACGTTGAACCAGTGCTTCAATGTGGTGCGTTAATTTAAGGCCATATTACAGTAAGCCATTAGGTCAGGTGAACGTCAAAAGACGTGCGCTTTGTGTAGGAGGTCAAAGTCCTGTGTAGAGAGGATCTTTTCAATACACATTTTATGAAATTTACCTTAAGAATATATCAACAAGCAATTAAAACTCTACTTATGTAAGTTTTTTACACCTGATTATTTTCACAATGACACCTCTTTGTGTATTGAGGTTGTTGCCACTTTTTATGCTACCGTATACTTTCTTTACATGACTGTTTAGACAAGGAAGGTGACTGTCCTATTATTTTTTGCAGTGTGCAGTATTAGAAGTTTAAAATCTCTTAAGTTGAACTCAATGGGCAGATATTAGAGAATCAGAGAAAAAATAGGGGCTTATAACTTAACTTTTTTTTGGCGGGGGGGGGGGGGGGGTGTTCCGATATGCCGATGTCGATAGACAGTTTAAAAAATAAGTTGGATTATATATTTCATTCGAAGGGCGAGATGTGAGACAGCATCTCTCTTTCCCCTCTCTCTTTCTCTTTCAAGTTCGAGATTGCAACCCTCTCCTGGATCCGTCACAGTTCTAAAACACTTAAAGCAGTTATACATTTGTATTTACAGTTATACTGAATATCAGTCATTTCCTTTATTTCTGATAAAAACCATTGTTGTTTAAAATCAGCCAGTAAACAACGCTAAGCAAGCCACTTGCATAGATTTCTTAAGCAACGGCTAGTACCATCAATTATGCATACAATGACATACACACCCTATTATACAATATTTAACATATTTAATTTACTTTGAATGTGTTTTTTTTATAAAGATATAAATATACACAATTAAATGTCTTTCTTTGTATGTTAGTACGGGAATAACGTCGCGGCTATTGCAGAAAAATTTCACATAACCCGCTTACGCGGGTTATTTATTTTTTCTGCAACAGCTGCGACATCCAAAGAAAGCATTTATATTGTTTAAGTTGATTGATTGATTATTGCTAAACGCCGAGTTGACGGTGTTTCAGCCATATTTCGGCGGAAAATTAAGTTCATATGACTGGTTTTTGAAAGACTTGGGTTTCTATGGCGGCCCCAGTAAGGCCAATTTTAAAATCATGTTTGTTTGCCCTCTCCCGACTCAGGATGAAAAAATTGCATGGGAAGGTAGGTAAGCAACGATTTTTTTTTTCAGAAAATTTCAATGCTAATTTTTTAAAATACATTGTCCAGAATACATAACAAAAAAATGCTTCCTGGAGGTTAAAAAAGTTTTTAGTCGGGCCATTTTTTAGCCAGTTGGTCGAGAGAGGGCAAATAAACATTTTTTTAAAGATGGCCTAAGCCTACTTTTTTTTTTCCAGAGGAACGATCTTTTGCGTGCCAAAGGGAGTGTAATCCTTGACACGGGGCACCATTTAACGTCCCATCCGACGGACGACTTAAATATATATTTAATTGTAATATGATCGGATTATTAAACTTTTAAGTTCGTTATTAAACATTAACTTGTGCTCTGCTGATCTGTGTCCAAATACTTCCATTTAATACAAAAATATTTTGCTGTAAAGCGAAGTAAACGTGAATGTCCTCAAATCAGATAGTGCCACATGGAGAGACAGAGGGAAAACAAGACTAACCCTAAAGCCTGATAATTGGTCTTTTAATGTTCCATGTAAAAGCTTTGGATCAAGCTACCATCATCACGGCTTCTTAAGATGCCTGGCGGTTAGCAATCCGTAGACAGGGGTGGGAAATATGACAGGCAGCAAGCCACACAATAAAGGGGGATATCCTCGCGAGTTTGAACCGAAGGCAGGCGATCCCCTGCTAAATCACATGGGTAATTTGTGTGATGTATGTAATTACCCACACCTGTTCCCTGCACGTGTGTCAACCCCAAAATCAAGCTTAAACTCGACCTTGTTAGTAACTTTCCTCATATTGTCTCTAGCAATATAATGCACCTCTCTCTCTCATCATTCATAATCAGCTGTAGTTAGAAATCGGGAAACAATGACATCGCCTGATTTATTCGTCTTCATCAGAAGGAAGCAAATTCACTCGATTTGGACGTATCACAACATTGTAATATATGTCTGATCGAACATTTCGAGCAGCGAAAATTATCGGAAAAAGTAACTTGTTAACATCGATTGTCACAGAAACGGGCACCCCACCCCCTTTATTGTATTCCTCAAAAGAAAGAAGCTGGGTATATATATATAATCTCTCTTGTCTGTATCATTTCGTATCGGAGAAAAATTGAAAGCTTTTATTTGACACAAAGATTGCTTGTGACAAGAGAGAGTTTCAAGGTCTAAACAAAGGTCATTTGGGTAAGTTCAAAGTCACTGGCAGAGAAAGGGTATAATTCTTGTCAGGTTCATAACTTTCTTTAATAAAAACAAAACAAAGGAAGCTCATACTTGACAAAGGACCCGACAGGCATGTCAGGACCTTGATCCTAGGTAATTTGTACATGTAGAAGAATGTACAGTTCCTGTTCTAGTCAAGCAATAGAGAAAATGGGGAACTCTAAAAATCAAAAAGATTGCCTTTCACCTTAAGGTGCCTGTGACCTTCACTCAAGGATATTTGGGTTAGGTCAAGTTAGGTTGCAGAAAGAGTAAAATTTGTGTCTGGTTTATAACTTTGTAAGAGTGAAACTTTTGATGCTCATACATCACTCAGAGATTGCTTGTGATATCCTGGGGGTATGTCATGATCTGAATCATAGGTCATTTTGGCAAGTTCAAGGTTATTGGCAAGAAAACTTGTTGAAATCACTTTGTACCATAGAGTTACTTGATGCAAATATTTGCATGTCCTGGTGGGGTGTGAAAATTTTGACCTAAGATCAATTGTACAAATTATAGTTCACTATCTGAAACAAGAGGCCCATGGACCACAATGCTCACCTGATTAACTATGGCTCTTCTAGTTCTTCATCAGCAGGTTCTTCTTCCTATCTACTCCTATGTAAAACTTGGATAATTTTGTAGCATTGTAGCCACACCCCACCCAAGGGGGTCATGATTTGAACAAAATTGAAACTACACTACCTGTGAATGCTTCCGTATAAATATGACTACTAAAGGCTTTCCTGTTCTTGAAAAGATTTTTAAAGATTTTGTTGTATGTATTTCTATTGCCCATTGTGGCCCCATCCTCTCCCCAGGGGTTATGATTTGAAGAAGCTTGGATTTACCCTACCTTAGGATGTTTCTGTTAAAAGATGACTGATCATGGCTTTGGTGTTCTTGAGAAGATTTTTAAAGATTTTTCCTATATATATTCATGTAAAATTTTGATCGCCCATAGTGGCTCAACCCTACCCCAAGGGGGACATGATTTGAGCAAACTTGAATCTACACTACCTGAGGATGCTTAAATAATAAATATGACCGACCATGACTTTGCAGTTCCAGAGAAAAGATTTTTCCTATGTGTTCCTTTGTAAAACTTTGATTGCCAATTGTGCTCAATTGCCCAATGGGGTCATGATTTGATAAATTTGCACTATATAAAGAAGCTTTCACACATTTTTCATCTTTTCTGACCCAGTGGTTCTTCATCATCATCAGATTTTTAAGTGACCCATCCAATTTTCACTATTTCTTAATTATCTCCCCTGGGAAGAGGGTGCGACTCTCCATTTGAACAAATTGGAATCCCCTTTACCCAAGGATACTCTGTGCCAAGTTGGTTGAAATTGGCCCAGTGGTTCTGGAGATGACGAAATTGTAAAAAGTTTACGACGATGACAACAGACAACAGAAAAATTTGGATCAGAAAAGCTCATTTGAACCATGCAAAATGACTATCCGAATTTTACTTCAAAAACTTCTTATCAACAATTCCAAAAAATTGCAAGGGAGGGGAGGGGGGGTCATTCTGGTAGCTTGCTCACAGTACCTCTAGTGACAATGTTATGTACAAAACTTTGTGTCATTTCATTTTGAAGGAATTAAAATCAGGAAGGAACCATCTTCAAGGTAATAAAATATTATTTTTCTTGTTGACTTGGTCAAAATTTACTTCTCAGTTGCATCAGAATGTATTGTACCACTACACAGGCAAATATGTAGTCATAATAAAAATTCTTAATAAGGAACTCCACTTGAACCTTTTCTTGGCCTGATCTCAGCCTTGATCAACATTTGAACACATTACCTGTATATATATGTAATACGTAAACAAATTCATTAGAGTTAACATGCTCCTAAGACGTCTTCTTGTAAAACTGGCACATGTACCCAGCTAGTACTTGCAAAATGGGAAATCCAATCACTTAACAGTCCAAAAATAACTCATATTTATTGGTAACTAATATATTTTATTTCAGTATATTTAATTTCAAATGAGTATACTAAATTTATTATTTTATATGTACAAAATGAGATGCATGCATTTATAATTATCCTTCACACAGACAAATAGAATTTGATGTCAATTCTCATCACTTTTTTGGGGGGTTTGCATAGTACTATCACAACATTCAACTATAGAAATGAACATTTAAAATGAATTTGAATTACAGAAAGAAGGCTACAGTAATGGTGAAAATAGAGTATAAAAGCTACATGTACAGGTAGAGTTAACATAATAATTAAAATGTCTACATGCAAATGTAGAAAAAGGTAGAAATGATGAGGATAATATAACACAGTTAAACTTCTATAGTACTCTACAACAAATGTTTTATATACACAACAGAACATGTGTAAAGCTAGCATGAGGGACAAATCCTGGTCATATACATAACAGGGACCACTATAAGCAGATTCATAATATGAAAGCAGGGTATCATATCAGAAGCTTAGCCAAATCAACTGTGCAATTTCTGGTTACATTTTTGTTTATAATCAGGAAGCACCATTTCAATCAGTATCTAATCATTTCATCATCTAAAGGGTTTTTTTGTACACCAATGCACAAAATTTTATGTACAAATGATTTACAGAATTGTTTTTCAGACCTCCTTTAGTCTAGATATCACAAGTAGCCTCTTTTTCAAGATGAATTATTTTACCCATGATGCATTTGTATGTTTTATGTGAGGTATTCGTTGGTTATGATTCATATCTATATGTAATTTGCTGGACTTTGAGTATTTTTAAGATAAATGAATACAGAGGGATTTTATGGATGACATCAAATGCTGCAACCACAACCAAATTCTGGAGTGTTTGAGATGTTATATAGAGTATATCAAAAGGAGAAAATATATAGTAATCACCTTTTTCAGGTAATACATACCTCTACCGGTATTTGAATTTGATACTGGCCAAAGATTACAAAACCATACAGATTCCATTTGATTACATTTTCATACATCTTATTTAGCACTAATTCCACCCTTCCAGTCTTTTAAGATAAAAAAAAAAGTACTATATGACAATGTGAAGTAGAAATACATATGATAAAGTAACTCTTTACACACTTATATGTACAATGACAGAACATACACAAATATTTGAATTCATAAATCTAAACCCAGATAACTTCATGTTCATTCATCTTAACCACACCACAAATCTCAATTTCACAGAATTCGGTACCACTACATTTCACTGTCTTAGATGAGAAGACCAAAATCTGACAGACATAAAAGATGTAATATTATGTAAACTATACTCTAATACAACCATATACTTCATTATCATTTTACAGAATGAAGAGCAATTCTTCTCAGATTAAAATAAAGCTGTCTTTGGATTCTACATCACACACACAGCCATCCTTTGGTTTAGTAATCATTTTCCACTGTCCATTGCAATACGGGACATCCACAGCCTTCCAGCGTGTGGTGTGGTTGTACACGCCATGTCCAATACAACGGGTTCCAAGTTCCTTGCTCATTGCGAATGGATCACACTGGATGCACACCGTTCTGTTCAACTGTAGTTCATTGGCCCACTTTTTATCAGCTCCCGACTTATTGCAATACAGGCTTGTAGCGACGATGGTAAATTTGGCACAGTATCTAAAATAAAATTTTGAACTATTAGTCCTACCCTCTGTTCAGTGCCCTTAATCAGAGCTATGGCTTTGCTATGAGAATTATTCAGTAAAACATAGGCAAAAGTAAATAATACAATCAAACCTCAGTATCTCAAACACCAATATTTCGAATACCATGGATATGTCAAAGTAATTTGGAAGCCACAACCACTTATTATTTAAGTATTTTACACTTGATATCTTGCATCCTTGGATATCTTGAAGTTTTTTCTCAGTCCCATCAAGTTCGAGATAACAAGGTTTGACTGTATATGTAATCTCAAAACCCATTAGTACAGATGCTCCTTCTAATCAATAATCAATTATGTATGTGCATTTCTCAGTTATCAATGGAATTCAGAGAAAAAAAATGAATTAAAATGTTGGCAAAGGGTTGAACTGAGAGTGCTGATACCAATCTTATTCCAATTTCCCATCATTGAAAGCTTAATAGGCCAGTAGAGCACACCAGTACAAATTACATGTCTTGCAAGGTGTTCAAAAGAAAAGACAAACCCACTTGTACTGCAAACTAACCATAACAAAGTTATTTTTGAACAAGAAATGGTGCAAGTCTTACTTTAAGGATTTAGTAAATCCATTCTTAATTGTTTTAGAAATGAATGTATATCTGAGTTATTTTGGAGTGTTGCCATGCCACTCTTGACTTTTTAGACTTAGGAAATGGGGTTGCATCTTACATGGATGTTTACATCCCTAATCAGATAAAGATATTCTTCATGCTTCAGAGAACCGACCCTAACTCAGGCACTAAGGTATGGCAGAACACGCTTCATGTTTTTAATCTGTTTTCCTCTCTCCTAAGCAGGTGCAACCTAGATGCTAATCTAGAATTCATGAAACAAAAAAATACATTCATAAAATTGATGTCTGTTTTATTGGATTCAATCAAACTTAATTGGAATTTAAATCCTCGAGGATTCACTTAATTGGATTACTGAATACGGAAATGTTGGGTCATCCAGAAGCATTTATAGTGCACAGCAACTTAAAATAGTACTTTAAGAGGGGAAAAAGTGAAAAAAAATAAAGATCTCAGATGACAAATATCTTATATAGAAACTGTCCTTTTTCAGATAAACTTTTAACAAGCGGTTGCCACGCTGACATTTTTCAGTAACTTGCATCTGTCAATCATAATTATATGGTAAGCTACTACAGATTTGTTTATGGAGAGTTTCAATGGCTTCAAGTTACAAATACTACAATCAAAGTGAAATTAATTCTTTGTGTGACTGTCAGATTTTGTCATTTGATTTCATCCCCAATACAAAGAAGATGATCGGCAAACCCTTGACCCCTCATACGTGAGGTGCAGTTAAGTGAACATAATGACGTATTTGCGTGGATTTGTGTTTTCTCTCGACAACCAGGTGTCTTCCCGGATAACCATATGTTTAGAGGGATGCACATATCTACTGTAAAAAAAACAGCTTTTCACACAATCTGAGGATTATGATAAGGAAACATGATCAAATTTTTAGCACCTGCAAGTATCATTAAGAAAATATCAAAATTTATCCATGTTTTAACTATTTTTTTAAGTGGATCTTGTATCTCTCCAAATTAATGCTTGATTTGGGAGATAACTAATATCCTGGGAAAAGTACACTCATTCACAATTTTTTTTCTTCATTCAGAATTTTTTTTGTTGGAAGTAAAATCTTAAAGCTTAACACTGAGGCTTTACATGGTTTCCTACGCAATTAAGAGAAGTCGGGGCTTTGAACAAGGAAATTGCCATAGCTATGAATCATTCACTTTTTGAGAGCCATACAACCATTCATAAATTTGTGAAATGTACATTGGTAATTTTGTTCTATTTTGAAAGAATTAAAGAAGATTTAATGATAACTCACACACACACACGTGAAATTTTAGCTACAATAAAAAAGAAACTTTATAAAGAGAGATTTAATATGTTTGACTAGACAGCAATTGATTGAAAGCCCATCACATTCAAAAGTGTGATTTTTTCCCCCTTTATCCTCAAGTTCTTATCAAGTATACATACAAGACTTGTTTGATCTTTAAAATTGTTAAATTTTTGTTTCTTATAAAAGCATGAATAAGAGGTACTTCAGTGCTTGAAAAAACTGAAACTTAATTCTAATACATGTACAACAAAACACTAAAGACAACCCTTTACTGTTTCCCAAGTGCTGAAAATCACTGAAACTCAATATGACTATTAACACTGGTAAATTTCAACACTGGCCTGTTTATTGAGTGAGTCAATTTCTCTGAGAGGGTGTCAACTTTCTGTAATTGTAAGTTTTTTTAGGATCTGTCTGGCTGTAGCAATTCTCTTTGCCAGCTACTGACTCCACACCAATTATTCTACATTAGAATGGGAAGTTAACCTTGTTTCCAGTGGCTCTGTGTGTGTGCATCTCCCAGACTCTTCCATACACAAATGTCTGAACCAAGACAATTTTCCTTAACTAATGTGTTAAACTCAAAAGCATAACAATTGCACAAAGTTAGAGAGTAAAAATTTGTAGCACAACCACTTCTTTCTAGCAAAAGGTCAAATAAAGTAAAACTAACAATTCTTTTAGCATGAGAATGTGACTAAAATTAGTATTTCAACCTCTTCCTTTTCAAAATCAGTAGCATAACCACTTTCTTTTAGCAAGAAAGGGAAAATCCGTAGTAAAACCTCTTACTTTAAGCAGGAGAGGTAAAATCTGGAATACAACCACTTCCCTTTAGTAGGAGAGGCAAAATCTGGAATACAACCACTTCCCTTTAGTAGGAGAGGCAAAATCTGGAATACAACCACTTCCCTCTAGCAGGAGAGGCAAAATCTGGAATACAACCACTTCCCTTTAGTAGGAGAGGCAAAATCAGGAATACAACCACTTCCCTCTAGCAGGAGAGGCAAAATCTGGAATACAACCACTTCCCTTTAGTAGGAGAGGTAAAATCTGGAATACAACCACTTCCCTTTAGCAGGAGAGGCAAAATCTGGAATACAACCACTTCCCTTTAGCAGGAGAGGCAAAATCAGGAATACAACCACTTCCCTCTAGCAGGAGAGGCAAAATCTGGAATACAACCACTTCCCTTTAGCAGGAGAGGTAAAATCTGGAATACAACCACTTCCCTTTAGCAGGAGAGGTAAAATCTGGAATACAACCACTTCCCTCTAGCAGGAGAGGTAAAATCTGGAATACAACCACTTCCCTTTAGCAGGAGAGGTAAAATCAGGAATACAACCACTTCCCTTTAGCAGGAGAGGTAAAATCTGGAATACAACCACTTCCCTTTAGCAGGAGAGGTAAAATCTGGAATACAACCACTTCCCTCTAGCAGGAGAGGTAAAATCAGTAACCCAATATTTTCATTTAGCATGAGATTCAATCAGAAAAACTTCTTTCCTTTAGCAAAAGAGCTAAAAAACACTTCCCAATCAAAGAGAGTAAATAAGACCACTTCTAAGGTTTACATTCAAAAAACAAAAAGTAAAATTACTGTTTCATGTGTATTTCCTCCTTCATAAAACTATATGGGCATTCCAAATTCTATACTATTGACCACAATATGCTTAACACATAATAATTGTAACAGGTGGTTAAAGTCTGTTCACCTAAATCTCCAAATACAAGAAAATTGAGAAATGTATGCAAAATAATTGGTGAATAATCCTGCTCACATTCAGGCACTTGCAAAGACTCTTTTTTGAAAGAAATTCCCCGTCCTGCAAGCTTAGATGTTCCATTTGTACCCCCAATTATATCTCTGCCACCCACTGATAAAACACTTGATCTTTTCCATATAACGAGTGTAAAACATCTCAGTTTCTACTTGGATGGGTATTTTGTTTCCTATATACCAATACTAAATTTGATATATTGACTATAAATGTAATTCAGACTCTTACTTTAAATTTTCAAAGAGAAATGCTACCACGGAGTGTAGCTTGATATTCTAATCATTAATTCTACAGATACATGTACTCTGTGCCTTTGGTGTTGGTGCTTTCCAGGTGCTAGACTTAATATCAATTAACCTTGGACCAAAAGGCTTCATTGTCCGTAGATCATTAGAAATGTATTGGCTGTAAGGTCTCTGAATATGGGAGAGAATTAGTTTTCACAAAAAAGCTCTGAATCAAATTTGAATGGGTAAAATTGCATCCTAAGGATTTGACTGTGTGCACAGCTGAGACAGGCAGATGGGGACAGGTAAGCAAAGGTAAATATCCAGGTGTGAGGACTTAGAAGAAATTCCTGTATCATTACATGAACTGGTTTGGTTTTCAAACAATGTATTCGGTGGATCATCTTAATATGTGAGTGATCAAAGCCTTGAATCCTTTTTATCTTTATAAACTACACACTTATTGAGGTGGCTGTGACCTGATGATAGAAAACTGAAAAAAAAAACTGTTCTATGTTCTTTGCTACTTACGGTAATCTAGTAGGGACTTCATTGCTGAGGCGATTTTCTATCAGATTTCTCCTTATATCATGTTCCATACTGTACAAGCTACTTGTTCTCCATCTTCCAAATTCTGCTGGTAAAATCTTCCCAACCTCTGTAAAAGACAGTCAAGTGTGTAAAAAATTAATCAATTATTTATAATATTATTTTTTTCCTTATATTAAAATTTTAAAAAGTAACTTAAAACTTTGTCAAGCTCTCCAGAGAGTTTTATATTCACTAAAAAAAATAGTAAAGGTCAGTAAATCAGTAGAAATTGGAACAAAAGGTAAACATGATTTTACTGTGAGGTGAACAAAACACATCAAGACTTCTTTTACAACTAAATCATTGTCATGATTTTTCTACCATCATTTTCTACCATCATTTATATATGGAAAAGTGGCGTCTCAGTATTCCTGACACCTTTACATTCCAGATGAAAATCTACATATCCGAATTACGAAAATATGTATGTTTCAATATTAAGGATGCTTCACAACTGCAAATGACTTTCTAGGGAACACAAGAGTCTGGATTAACAAGACTTGACTGTATTGTATTGCAAAAAAAAAAAACCCTCGCTAGATAGCCATTTTATCAAAGAAGTACTGTTTTATTTTCACAGTAAATGTAACAAATGTGCATTTAAATACAGTAACTGTCTGTAGCAGTGATATCGTAACCTGGAAGGATATACATAAGTTGTCTGTATTCATTACTGCTAAACAAACACCGACACCAAGATAGGTCAAAAAGGAGAAAACTTATTTACACAACTGACATTTATTACTTCCCCTGCATACTGATAAACTGCCTTAAAAGTGGATTATTTGCTGTGTACCATGCATTATTTAAGACTCTCTACTTTTAATGTATCCTTGCACTTTGTTTCATGTCAAGATTTTGTGAGTGGGGAGTGTCAAAAAATGATATTCCTCCCAGATATGTGACAGCCTAAGTGTAAAATATGTAAACAATATGTGTCAGAAAACCAGTGTTTTTCCTTTCTGCATTTCACACAGTGTTCAGACTCCCATTGTATTGAGGTATTGCATTTCAAAAGTTAAACGAAAGATGCTTATCTAGTAAAATAAGCCAAAGATATGTAAACTGACATGTCAAGAAAGTCAGGGGTATTTAATCTGAAAAGAAAAGTGAAATACCTCCCATACAGTTATTTTACTGAAACCCTGTAAGATGATAAATATTTGTGCAAGGACTTTTCAAACAAAAATATCATACTTGTAAGTTACAGATAACCAATTTGAAAAGTCATTAAAAGGAAAACTATTGTTAATTACTTCTTGACATGGAATTTTTTAGATATGATGCACAAATGTCCCACTGTGTGTCAGAACCTTCATCAATTTTACATACACTCTCTGGTTGTAACTAGAGATCTAAGTGCAGGGTCTCCCCAAACAAATGACTTTTTAATATCGTTACATATGTGCATGAGAAAACCACTTTTCCCTCAATAAGTGCATTCTTTGGCCACTAGTCATCTTCATGTTTGTAAATATAACCCTTTTTCATGCTCCAACAGCCCTTCAGAAAACTTCAAAGTTGATGAAAATTGGAGCCCAATAGGTGGAAAAAATGTTTTAATTCTGGACAATAAATTCTTGCTGGGTGTCCACAAGGCCAGCTCCTTGTAATCCTATTGGGCGGTTTGATGGCAGATAATGGTCCACACTGCAGGGTGCTTGGAATCCAAACAGATGGGTGGGGATTATTTTAGATTACACTGGTATTTCTGATAATCACTGGGGAAGGACTGGAGAAAACTTATAATGATTGATTCTGTACACAAAAAATCTTCAACACTCTTCTTCTGATCTACTCTCCATTTTGTAAAATTTCCAAGGAGTGTATGCTTTAAAGCTTTTAAATTGCATGGCCTTTTAGTAATACATATGTATTTGTAAAACTAAATATATGCCTTGTAGCCATGCCCCAAACCCCAACAATTTTCCAGTATATACTTAACTACAGTCAAACCTCGTTATCTCGAACTCGATGGGACCCGAAGAAAAAACTGAGAGATATCCGAGGGTTTGATATATTGAGGGTAAAATACTTAAGGAAATACGTGGTTAGGACTTCCAAATCACTTCGACATATCCATGGTATTCGAGATATCCGTGTTCGAGAGACTGAAGTTCAAATGTATAGAAAACAAAGCTAGTTTAGAGTTGCGCCCCTCAATAATTTTGCAACGTAAACTATATACTTTACATTAGAAAACAAAGATAATCTATGGTTGTGCCCCCTCATCAAATAATTTCTTATGCCCCCCCTTTTTTTTTTTTGCTTGGCAAGAATTTCTATTTGGTTGTGTAAACATTAAAGAAAAAAAAGACTAAGATGAGAGTGCATAGTAAAATCATATCTCTATTCTTCTCATAGTAAGTAATTATAAATATAATGTACAATGGTTAAGTGATTTATAACATAGTAGTATAGAAATACTTTACATTGCTACTTAAAACTCTCAGATAGATATTGTGGTATATAAGTACACTTCTACTGTAGTTATTGCACACAAAGGAAATTTGTCTTTGAACAATACATGTACAATAACACTTTTCATAAAGCCAGTAACAGTACCTTTTATAATGTAGGGATCTGAATACCTTCTGGGGAACAAAGTTGAGGCAGTGCAGAGGGATATAATGCTAAATCCAGAAAATATGGAAAGGAAATCAAGTTTCTCCATGTCTGTATCACAAAACAGTAAGGAAGAAAAATGATAAAAACCCAGACATAGCTCAGATTAAGGGGAGATTACCAGGTATTACTCAAACAGGATTATCTCCCTTGGAGGGATGCTAATCTCCCTAGGGGATATGTAATTTTATACAGAGCAGACTGAGTGTTATTTATTTCTCACATAAAGATTTCAATTAATGGCTTGTATCCCATCTTTACAAAAATAATATTTTACTTTATTAAAGTTATGAAGTTATATTGATGCAATATTAAGCACAAGACAGAAGCATTTTACTTTGTCACTTAAGATATAGAGTTTACAGGGGCAGAACATATGTCAAAATCATAAACCTGATCCTAACCTTTACTAAAACACAGACTTTGATGTGGTGTAAATGGCATATTTGAGTACAAAGATTAAATGCATGCTTATAATCACAAATAACATTTTCTAAAGCTTGTTACTTAAAAGTCAAGTGTAGACTATTCAGAATCTAAGAGATGTCTATTAATGATTAAAAAGGCATTTAAAGGGTAATTATAAGGGTCATATTATGTATAGTATCAAACTGCTGATAGCAATCGGAGGACTTCCACTTAAAGTACAGAGAAATAGACAAAGAGTTACTGATAAAACAACTGATTTACAAACCAAACAACTGCACACGAGCACTCTTAAAATATGGTGTTCATAATGGGATCATAACTGACTTCAAAGAAAGTTTGGGAGATAAAGGGATAAAGTTACATTTCTACAACAACTCCTCAAAAAATTCTTCATATAGGTGCCAAACTTCTGCCTTATGTCAGAAAATAAGACACATTGTTTGAGTTTGACCTCCCTTCACCTTGTTCATATAAATTTCAACAAAACAATGACCCTATTTGTGTAACAATTAATATCCATTTTACTTCATTCATAAATTTGCTCTTATCTTCTCTTTCACATTATCAAATTACAAATTTAAAAAATTCAACAGAGTACTCTTCAAAAGTGCAAAAAGTAAAAAACTTTCTCACAATTTTACCACAAGATTATAAAAACATCCGGCCATGTATTACATATAAACACAATATTGATTAAATAGTTTATACAAAAACATTGATGTATGAAGAAAAAACACATTTAAAATACTGGTATTTTTTTTATGATCCTTGGCAATACCACACAATCAGTGTGCGGTAGAAGTGATAATCTTGTGTCTGGCCTGAGAAACATGGATCTTATTTAAAACCCTCACTATACCCACCACAAAACCTAAACTCTCCAATGTCAAGATGATCCATTAAATACCAGAGATATATAGAGAGGAAATTGTGGTTTACTAAAACTTCTGAATCAGCCCCTAGGAGCTGTTGATTTGTACTCCAGACAACCCCTCTTTATAGTTAAACAAAGCAGTGACCAATTCAAAATATGCCTGTACAGTGAGAAAAAATATATAATTTTTGGTCATTTGTCAGTTCAACAGGATTAAGACAAACTGTTCTGAACTGGGGGTTTCACCTCTGGATGAGAGCACTAATAATTCAACTCGTAACAACAGAATGACGCAGCTGACAGGGTATAATCGAGAGCAAGAAAAACTGTGATTAATAGGCTCCCCATTATAACACTGTAGAGGCAGTAGAGGTATTTGTTTGCCGATTAAAAACCTTCACATTTTGATTCTATTTCATGATCCTCCGGAAATAGCAGTGACACACTACCGGTACCTGTATTTAGTACCTTTTTTTTTTTTTTCTGAAAACAAGGTTACTGTTAAATACTAAATCACAACTCCTAGAATGACTTAATGATTATCTTCTGTCATAATCTGGATAATAATAATAAGGAAATAAATCTTTCAGCTTTTGATGCCTTAGCCTGAGCAAAGAATGCTTCATCATCACACAGAAAACAAAGTCCTCAATGTGCAACCCCAATTTGTTGACCTTGTATGACCCCTGCACCCCATTACAACTACAAATTTGCAGGTGTTTTAAAACAATCAGAAAAATGACATCCAGGTATATTGCTATTTCATTCATTGCCTTATCATCTCCAATGGTGGGGTATAATTGCCAAGAAATATGATTTACTGCTGCTAAATTAGAGATCTTATCAGCAGAATTATCATTCATAACATTTACAATCGGTGAAATGTGATGCCATAATGGTTCATAAAATTCTCTAATCAGGAGAACATAATTTTTAAATGTCATTCATAAAATAAAATTTCTTTTTGTTCCAGTGTGAGGGGTTCAGAGGTGATCTATAGCATAAAACATCTGTATGAACAGGTTCCTAGATGGAATTTATGTCCCACTTGTGGTTCAAGAAGACATTTTACTGCTGCATGGTTGCCCGTGTGGCTCAGTGGCTAGAGCATTTGCACCAGAGTCATGGATGTAAGGACTTGATCCTTACATCATGGGTTTGAATCCCACTGCGGGACGTGGGGACCGGTCCTTTGGATGGGACCATATAAACTGAGGTCCTGTGTTGCATAGGTGCTGGCACGAAAAAGATCCCTCACTGCTCAATGGCTGTATATGCAGAGTCCAAGTCTAAGGGCCAGTACACACGGTAAGGCTTGCCTTATAAGTCATGGAACTTACGTTCTAGCCTTACCGTGTGTACACCCTTAATACACGTTTTTTCGAGCCTTATAAATCTGAATTACGAATAGAACACTGCTCTATTTCTCTTTATACTAGACTTAGCTGACATTTTCTTCTAAACCAATGAAAACCCTTCACCCCAATGTTAATCTATTTTTTATCAAACCATACACATGCATGCATTGGTAGATTGAAAAGAACACAAAATAAATTAGAATAAGATAATGAAAATCTGTTCAACCTCCTTTTTTTTTTTTTAAAAAAGTGTGAATGCAGTGGTCGGTAAAACTATTTCAAAGTCCTAGCTAGTAATCTGTTCTTCTATTTTTATGATGTGCATTGTTTATGGCTCAAAAAGATGTGGAATTTATGAAAATGTTGTTTACAATCATGTATGTCTTGCCTTAGCTTGTGGACATGAGAGCCGTAAGGTCTGCAAAACGTAAGGTTTTAGACTTATAAGGCAAGCCTTACCGTGTGTACCAGCCCTAAATCTGAAGCGCTCCCCCAACAAGTGGTGGTGTCCTGATATGAGTGAAAAATTCTCAAAGGGACATTATACAAACAAACATACAATACTTCCTGCTGCTTTATTGATGCTGCTAATTATGATATACCTCATATTTTGCTCTCTCTCTCTTATTTACAACTTTGTCCAGATACTCTCACTACATGTTTACAGACATTGGAAATTTTATGTTGAAAAATGGTATCTTCTTCATTGGCCTCTACTTAAACATGCTAGACCACACACAAGTTTTCTGCTAAATGTTCAAACTGCCTCATTTATCATCACTATTAATCAAATTACTGCCAAAGATGATCTGTACAATTCATCAACTACTTCTGGTATTAATTTGAAGCAACCCATTTCACATGTTTATGTTTCTAAATTCTCTATATTAGGGGAAAATGACAAATTGAATTATTGACATTTATAAGTTCACCTGACTGCCACTAGATGTTGGTAGTGATATTCATCTCTCTCCAGTACTGCAAGTGGTTCTTGAGTACGTTATACTTAGCTGCAGAACTGTAGCATTATGGTTTTACATTTTAGTCTTTTGACCATAATGCTACAGATCCTGTAATGAAAATATGATGTGCTGCAAGATTTTCTGTGCACAGTTGGGGAGAATTTCTCCACTTTCCAGCATTGGTCAATCAACTACCTTTCACTCCCCAATTCTGGAATATTCTTTAACCAACCTTTTTATCTTATCCTCCTCCTAACCCTTTACAATCATCTCTACAGACCAATAAACTTGCTTGTTTTGAATTTTCTGCCATCCGACAAAAAATTCAAAACGAGCAAGTTTATTGTTCAGTAGAGACAACTATAAAGGGTTAGGAGGTGGATAAGATATACAGGTTGGTTAAAGAATATGTCTAGAATTAGGGAGTGAAGTGAAAGGTAGTTAATGACCACTGCTGGAAAGTGGAAATTCTCCCCAACCGTGCACAGAAAATCTTGTGCTGTAAATTGCACCACGATATTTGCATTAGGGATCTGAAGCGTTCGGTCAAAAATAAAATATAAAACCAAAATGCTACAGTTCTGCAGCTATGTTATCCTTTGCATCTTTCTAAAAAAAAAAATCCCTGCTATTTCTTACTTTATATGAAATATTTTTTAACAACAGATATTGAGGTTAAATCAAAGGTAAGTTTAGTTTCAACAAAAACTGATGATGGGCCTGTGTACAAATGAATACCAGTATGTCTGTTGTTTATCTTTTGATTTCAGTTTTGTTGTTACCGGTAATTATTTGTATCTTACAAATGTTTATCTAGATGTCAAAATATGGTTTAAATTGTGGTTGTATAATTGCATTGCTGGGTCACGGGCATATGCTGCTTGCATCAGTAGTTAAATGAGTAAGGGGCCTCAACTAAATGTAAAGAAACAGAAGATGACGAAGTGTTGACTAAACTCCTAATACTATATCGACATTAGTGGATTTGCAATGTTTCAGAAGATATAAGAAGGTACAAACAACACTGTCTCCAATTCTATGGATGTACAAAATAATTCTCAGAGAGGGATATTCTTTCTTTCATTCATAAAGTAGCTCACATGTAGAACAAATGTTGGGACTCCACCTTTCTCAGACAAACATCTTCTGCCATAATTAACCAACAAGATGCTGATTAGAGAATAACATGACTAGGAACACAAACCACACAGTGGAAGTCAGGAAGAAAAAGCAAATCCCAAGTGTTTCAGCCGACTCTGATTTACTTCTCATCCACATACTTTCCTAAACTTATTGGTAATCCACTCTCCAGTGGTAAAATGCGAGAGAGAAGGAATGTGTACTGACTACTTAAGCATGGTATGTAGGATTGTAGTACATGCAAACTGATATAAACCTTTTTTTTCAAAATAATTAATTTGTTTTTCTTTTTTAACATCAAATCTCCAAACATCTTCAATAAATTTTTTTTCATAAACATTCTTCCATCAAACTGGATTATAAGGGATCGGTATCAAAGACCTAAGAACCAGCGTCCTGGTGTGTCATGATGCAAGAGCAACTCTGATGTCAAAGCGTAAAACAGTTATCTGTGACCTCCCAGTGATTTTCAAATAAGTGATATGAACTCTTTCCTATAAGACTAAGGCATGAGTTATCAAGTTCTTGTATAAGTTCCTATTGCATCAAAAGACCCAAATATCTGTTTTTCTAGGTCAAACTACGCAGAATATTATGTCCCACACCTTTCCAAAGCTTTTTGGAAAGAAATTAATGAACATAGATTTTTATTTGCGATTCTATTCAGCAAAGAAAAGAAAGAATGCATTTTTTTTTTAAGTGCATCTGGCAGGATAAGATGTTCATTTCCCTTAAAATTCCTGGCCATTCTCTAAGAATTCTCTACTTAGTAAGTTCCATGTCTTGTAAACAAAATCAGCCTTCAGATTCTCCTATAAATCATTGAAAACTTTTACAGATTTTTATCTTGGGAGTAAGATAAATTTGAGAAGCATATTAAAATTACATAATAAAAGCATACTATCATTCTCCATATTACATAATGATATCTCTAAAATCACTGTCCCGGCATTGCCTTCGTTGAAATCTCACTTTTATCATAAAAACAGTCTATTTATGTTATATTATCATTTATGACATATTCTCAAGTTTTAATCCTTTTGTACATAATTTTGGCATGTCTGGTACTGCCTAGTTATTTCTTTATAAATTTGGACACAGTGAATATTTGTAGTAAGATTAAAAAATTATCAGTTTAATATATTCTTCATTTACCCTTTAAATCTTGTTATTAAAATTGCAATACACATGCAGCTTCCCAAATTCCATAGTTATATGCCTGATCCAAAATTTCCTATTTTTGATGTTCTTTTGGTCTTCTCTTTAATTTGTGTCAAGTACAGAAAAAAATTGTGAAACTAACAATAAAAAGACAATTATCTACATTAATACTGTGGGTATTTAGGTTAATGGCACAATAGCATCCAGTTACAATACTACTTTTGTGCAACTCTTCTTATTATAGGAACTGGGGCACAGCAAAGCTGAGCATCCCCTCACAAAATAGCACATTGATCTCTATATAAATTATTACTTGCATAACTTCCATTACAGGCTCACTCACCCACACAAATATAAATGTGTTACTATATCCCCCTCTAACTTCATTGTAAGGGGATAATTAAACTCTTAATAAAACCCAGACCACAGCCCAGTTTTACAAAAGAACTTACGACTAAAACCAAAAAATCTTTATCAAATACATTGGGTAGCTAGGAAAGATGTTAGAAACAAGAAGTCTGTGAGTGAATCCTCACTAGTAATATCCCCGCTGTGATGTGAATATACACTCTCATGTTGACATCGAAATTCATACAAAAATCAATCCCACCATTTGGCATGCCTAAACAAAGATTATGCTAAAATTTCAAGCATCTGCGCTGAGCAGTTGCTGAGAAAACTGTGACAGAAATTTGGTATGGACAGACGCACGGATAAACAGGAAGTTGACATCGGATTCAAACAAATATGTCTCCCATCATATGGCATGCATAAACAAAGATTGTCCTTAAATTTCAATTATCTGTGATTAGTACTTGCTGAGAAAACTGCGACGAAAATTTGTTACAGACAGACACACGGACACACAGGTAGACAGACACACAAGTGTAAAACAATATACCCCTCACTCCTTCGGAATGGGGGTATAACAACTAAAATTGTTGTTAGTCTTAGACATACATTCTTTAGTAAAACAGGCTCCAGGAGATAAACAACTAACTATTCAGATTATAACCCACTCTCAGACAACTTACCACTAAGTTCTTTGCCCCTGAACTCAACAGACTGGACGGCAAAGCACTGGTCGCCCACACATGCCCGTTTTTCATGGCGGACTGGGCACTTCTTTCCTCCATGTTGTCTGTGTCTGAGGATCTTTCTCTTCCTCCTCTGAGTCCCGTATCCACATAGCTCATCACACTCGCTCCACGATCCCCACTCCTCCATCAAGCAATCTCTACCTAAAACAAAACAAAATGAGGCTTAAACAAATATTTATTCTTACAGTCAAAGAAATCTTGTGAGTAGATAAATTCCTAGTATTGAGCAATATTATACAGTCAAACCTCATTATCTCGAGCTTCATGACCCCCCCCCCCTTCCCAACCCCTTCAAAAAAAGAGATATCCATGGATTTTAGATATTGAGGTTAAAATACACAATGAAAAAGTGGTTGGAACTTTAAACTAACTTTGACATATCCATGGTATTCAAGATATCAATGTTTGAGATACCAAAGTTCAAGTGTATGTTGTTTTTACTTTCTCTTTATACAAAATCTGGTCAATAATTTTAATTATGTTCAAACTAACCTTCCGAGACCTTGAATGATTTGGTAATTGAAATAGAAATTTTCATTAGTGTCACCTGTACATGATATTTTATGGAATCCAATATTCCAGATTTTCTTTCAAATCAAAGATTAGTTGATGATAGCATTAGTCAGCATTAATCCAGTCCCATTTGTACATGAAGATATAGGAGAGAGAGATTTAATAATATCATCCCTTGTAAGGACAGTAGACAGCATTAGTATCAAATAGTTCACATAGATATTGTATTCTCTGTAGAAAGGGACTCCATGTAGGGACTATCAGGAAAAAAAACATAGAATTTTCTGTCTTCACCATCTATTTATCATGACACAACTGTTCTCTAAATGAATTTTGTGGGGGAAAATACAAATCTTTACATTGCAATTAAATGTACACATAAAAAATACATTTTCTCTCTGATCTGCTCTATAATAAAATAGTTGTGTTTTATAGAAAACTTTAATTAAGACCAGGATAGAAATTTCCTCCAGAGAGAAACCTAACACTGTTAGGGTTTTGAATCTTGGTGAAAATCAGGTCACACCCCCAGTTTTCATCCCCATCCAATTTACCTACAAATCCACAGGTAATGAATACCTAATCATGGTTAACTGCTGGAGACCTCTGTAAGAATTAACTTCTCAATCAGTGTTAAATTATAAACTTATCGTGAGGTGGCTTTACCTGTCCGAGTGTAAGGATCAGACAAAGCAGACCAAGACCCTTTAAATACTGAACAGTGAAAATGTTATATATACACAGTCAAACCTCGTTATCTCAAACTTCAAGGGACCAAAAAAAATACTTCGAGATATCTGAGGATTCAAGATATCCAGGGTAAAATACTTCAGAAATAAGCGCTTGGAACTTCAAAATCACTTCAACATATCCATGGTATTTGAGATATCTGTGTTTGAGATAACGAAGCTCAACTGTATATACATAGAGAGAGAGAGAGAAAAAGAGAGAGAGCAAGAAAAACTCATCATTTTATACTAGGTGTATAAAGGACCACGGACTCTTGCTTTATCGTGTCTAGGAATGTCTAAGAAATTTCCTGTAAATTGAGGAAAGTCCTCACACTATGGAGGTGTTAATCCAGCTTGATAAGTTTCAGGCAGTGTTTACATAATAACCCTGATAATACTGGGTTCACACTCAGATGATAGGACCTAAATCCTTCTCATGGGAGATAACTCTTGACTTCAATAATCTCATCCAAAGACTCAGTGGCTACACATACTGTTCTAGCATTATAGGATAATTATCAAGAGATACCTTAATTTAAGTTTGTTTGTTTTTTTTAAGTCAAAGAGAAACAAAAAGATTATGGTGTGATAAATAACTAAACAAGTCATCAGGTAATTAAATTCATCAGCTTAATTAATTGCTCCTCCTACTTTCAATGTATTGGTATTAGCTATGACCTGTGGTTTTCACTGTTTATTGCTTTTTTTTTTTTTTTATTTAATGCATGGTCTGGAAAAATGGAAGTGACTCAGGAACATAAAATATTTTCAAACATCTATCAATTTTTAATACACCAAAGTCTGAATGCATTAAATTAATTTTTTCAATGCCCAATTGTGAACACATTTTGAAATAGCAGCCATCAAGACAGAACATTACCTAACACAAACATGACAGAGGCAGTCATTACCTCACCACCAACATTGAGATGGCCCAAAATTCAAAGAGCAAATCTTTGAAATTCTTAAGTTACAAAGGAAGTATAAAATATTCACACAGGGTGAGAGATTAATCTAGGTTGCAGACGAAAACTGAGAAGCAATTCATTTTCCTTCCAGAATTACAAAGATATGCACCAGATTATTGTCAAAGAGTGAGACAGATATTCTGAAGATCTCAAAAAATTCAAATTGACAGTTGAATCTGAAAGAACACCTTGAAGAGTGTATACATCTTAAATTTGCCTCATCGCTTAAATGCTCAATTCTGTCAATCACATCTCTAAAATCCCAACTTGGGTTGCCAGATGATATCTTGCCTAAAAGGTTTCTCTTGAGGTTTATCTCAAATTTCTGCACAGGTTGTCCCAGGTCGAATTTCCCAACCCTTTCTTTTAAACAATTAACAGTTGATTACCTTAAAATTTTGGGGGTCATGAAAATTCCATTCTGGCAAACTGGCATGATTATCTATCATTATGGTAGATTTGTCATGCTCAATACTCTTCTCTTAAGGAGGAACTTTGGAAGAAAATTGGCAGTGATTTTCTGGTCAAATGCAAGGTTAAAAAGACAATGGTGTTTTACAGCAATGAATCATTCTTTTTCCAGATGTGCCGATATTGCCCTAACTCCTGAAAAAAATCTACCGAGGAAAAAGCCAGACAATAATGCATCGTTATCCCACTTGAAAATGTCTCAAGATGCACATCTAAGAGGAATGCAAACAAGGCAGAAACACACCCTGGGGACATCTGATAGAAATGGGGGACATTTATATAGAGGGTGTACTGATTTGACATTTTCGTGTATAACTAAGTATTATGGTCTGGATCACGACAGAACACATTAAGATAAACCTCTGTATTGCCAGGTGTGTTTAGGTAAGAAGACAAAACGATTAAGTCATGACAGTTCAAAGGAGACGTGTGATTTTCCTAAACAAGGACCCAACAAGAGCCTGCTGTTTTTACACATACTAAGTCAATATTATCATAACCTAGTCCTCATACACAAAAGCCTGGTCAGTCTTACGATCAACAGAACTTCACATACTCGCTAAATCCATCACCTGATCCCATCAAGTCCACTCTATTAGTACTTAATTCATTACTACTCACAGCTGGACAAAAACAACAAGTTGGATTGATTTTTTTTACTAACTTTATATTCATTAAACTTTTAATTTCTTAATCACAATATTTACTCTGATTAATTTAAAAGTGCATCTTTAGATGCTTCACATTCTCTTCATTTTGGTCATATTAAGGTGACCTATCATTCAATTTTTCTCCATTTAAAAGTGCATTGTTTTCTGGTTGCAATCACGTATTTCTTGTCCAGAGAGATAAAACTGTTTTGGATTATGTTGAAGACTTTTATGACAAGAGTGATCAAAGAGTCCCTCCCATGTTATCAACACTAAGCTGTGGAGGAACACAGACCTCGGATAAAAAACTTGTACTTATCCTAATTTAATCCATGTTGAAAAAACCTCATCTCAACATGCTTCATTTATCTTTATGCTGACAAGCAGACATACCTAATTCTTTCTCATCATTTATCAAACAAATTGACAAATACAACATCTTACAACATTGAGTAGTGTCTGTAGACAGTCCAGTCAAACGTAAAATCCTATCTCATAGAACCTTATCAATTCATAATCTCCACTGAAGAGAAAGCTAGTACAAAACCCAAGGACAGAGGTGTCTAATCAGCCAGAAGTCCCTAAATCTGGGGGCCCCTTCCTTTTGGTAAACCACTATTATAAAGATGGAAGTCCCCAAGGTCAGGATAATATCTCAAAAAAAAAAAAAGAATAGAGATGATTTGTAAATGTAATATGTTAGTAAGAATCAAGCTACCTCTCTTCATTAGAAGCAACAAAACCAGAAGTCTCGGTCGAGAATGTAGCTCTACTGTTTCTTTCTTTTTTTTTTTTTTTACTAAATTTAAAAAGGTAGAGAAAGGTAGCACTTAGACTTGAAACTTTGGCAACAGCAATAAATAAAATAATGATCCTTGGATTAGTCTCTTTCTAAATCAAGTTAATTGCAATTGGACAAAAGGTGTAGTAGGAGTAGCATTTTGAAAGAAATTCACAAAAATTCTAATTTTGGTAACTATGACAACACTGTTCACCAAAATCAAAAACTGATGTATACTTGTGTATTAAGTTATATTGTAATCAGATTAAAACTGTAGGAGGAGTAGCATTTTAAAAGTAGAGGTAATAAGCTCTCAACTAGTATAGAAATAGGTAGCAAAGAGAGAAATCTTTCAAAGTACCAGCTATGCATGTCAGAACTAAAACTCTGGAAATCCACTGGTCTTAATGTAAATGTTCTACATATTTTACCTTTTGGTTGCAATGTTGTTGAAAATCAAAAAAAAAAAAAAACAAAACAAACTAGGAAGATAGTTGTTGAATTTCAAAAAATAAAAGTCTATGCATATGTTAGCTAGTGTACTTTTGATACACGAAGGAAGCATAAGTTATACCCTGTGCCTTGGTATTTACCACACAGATGGGCTAAATTATATGTGTATTTACACAAGTTACTCATGTACCTGAAAAAATTATATCTACATAATGGCCATTAATGGAATCTCTTATTTACATTATATGATTATGTTTTAAAGTTTTCTGAAATCTTTAAACAGGACATTAATGTTAATAATGACTAAGTTTTTTATATTTTTATGCTACTTGAGGTCATTGTTTGTTAAACAAAATATATCTTCTACAATCTAGCTCTTGGTAGCAAGCCTAAGATCCTATATTCCTTTAGAGTAGAAGCTAGGAGGCACAAGGCTTTAATTTCCATCAATCTTGGGCCTTAATCGCTTGTCAGGTACTTGATGACGCAGATTATTGCAGCAATGTACAGGTGCAAAGCAGCTTCTGATTTATTGCAGATCACTGTGGATACAGAGTTTATGTCAAACACGCCATTTTCTGGTGTTTGGGGGAAGCTACAGAAGGTGCTCTGTTGGGTAATTAGTCTCCCCTAATGAACAGGTGCAGAACAACAAGATGTTATAAATTGGGATTTCTGCTTAAAGATACAAAAGTCAACTGTTAAATGATTCAAAATTTTAAATAATTTATGAGAACTTTCACTCTGAATAAACCTCTCTTGTTTCAGACAAAATTCTTTTTGAATAGTTTAAATAGAAGAGATATTTCTTCAACACAAAGGGATAATTGATGTGAAATATTTGTGAAAGAAATCACTATGTTGACATCTTTGGTATTTTATGTATGTTCAAGACAAAAATGCTAAATGACCTGGCTTAAGTGTGTGTTGATGACCATGCAAACACGTTTTAAGAGGTTTTTCTAAAAAGTCAATTGTATTCTCCTGTCTTCAATTTATAAATGTAGATTGACTCATCATTTTTTGTTTGGTTCTTTAAAAATCCATTTAGATTCATTTGAAACTGGCAGTGACAGACAGTGGCAAAAGTGAAACATTTACAAATACCAAACAATTTAACTATACACCATTTTACCCTTAAATGTCAAAAAAATAAAGGTGTTTTGACCAGCCGGCCAGTCCATAGCTATAAAATCAATTTGACTATGTAATTCTTTACACAGGGTGTCACCATCTCGAAAGATGGCTATCATTTTGAGACCTATCATTAGGTTAGCCAAGGGGCATCATTTAGCCCTTACTTTTATGTGTCCACATATACTGCGTTTATCAGATTCAGGTGATACTGGAAATAAAAATTCAATTGATAAAGTTCTCTGGCCAGATCATTCATCACACTTAGAATAAATATCTGACAGCATATTAACATAAAATTAAAAGTATATTCAAATTACAAGCCACCTGATTCTATTAGAATCCATATCTTGGTCATATAAGTCTCTTTCTTGTATGTGCTTTGACCATTCTTTCTTTTATAGGCTTGAAGCATTCAGATGGATGTCACATTTTTCATAAAAAGGTGGCTCAAATCAGAATTCATATATTAATCCTGCTGCCCAGACTTGAACTTAAAAGCACCATTTTTAGAAATTTATAACATGCCATAAAACTCATATTTGACCAATTCACTATAATGCTGCATTCCTTCCTGAAGTAATAATTCTGAAGGCACCGAAGAGAAAAATGTTTCACATAAAGATTGAAAAAATATATACAGCTCAGAGACAATGTATGTTATTAAAAAGCAATTACTTGACAATCAATCCTAGCCATGCAAAACAACATCACCATAAAAGCCCTTATATAAGGAAGCATTAAAATCCTCCTGAAGGGTGGAATGGGTGTAAGTTAATATGGCTGAAGATCACAGGACGTACCCTTGCTTACTGGTCCAGAATCATCGGTAATAATTAAAGAGTTACCTGATCTGACCCAGTAACAATATATTCTTCTCTTGTAGACACCCCAGTGATAGGTATTTATCCCCATACAACAGCCACCATAACTGTCATTAGGTCAGGGGGGATGTCAAATGATTAACTTTAATGAGCATCATTTACACTTGATTTCAGTATGCTGTCACCATGCAGTGTATTTAATTTTTTTTTTTTTTAAGTTTTTTGTTAACTCTTTCATGAATAGCTGACCATAGCTGCCAAACTGAAATTCAAATGAACCTAAAACCTTTATTTGTTATCATAGCAGAAAAATCAAGTTAATATAAACATTCTAAGTAACCTATTTGAGCACCAGAATCTTTAACCCAAATCAAAAAACATGACAGCTGCATGTTTCTAGGCTCTGTTCTCTTTCCAGTTACCGATATAATCCCTCTTAAAAAACAAGTGGCTATAAAAACATCTACCCAGACATGACCCAGTTCTGTGGAAACTGGTCAGAAGATTTCAACCTTTGAGACATTCCATAGTATGCAAATTTGGCTGCTGATCTAGGTTTTGATGGTTTCGTCAGCATCTGATGGGGTCAATGATCCTCCACAAATCAAGGTCATTATACATGCTTAGCAACCCTCAGCTAAATGATGTTACTTTCTTCATCAATCAAGAAATTCTCAAAGAATTCCTTGCTCCCCTTTTTCTGTCAGTAAAAATTAGCGATTGCTTAGATCATCTTCAACAAGACAGTAACAAAAAAAGATTGCACTAGAAAATTTTGTAATGATCAGAGAATTCCATTAACTCAAGGATTAGCTGCAGAACTATAGCATTATGGTTTTATATCTTAGTCTTTGACCATAAAGACTAAAATATACAACCATAACGCTTATACTTCTGCAGCTACTCAAGGATGAAATATCAGGACATAATTATTACAGAACTGGGTAAAAGCCTTGAATCAATGCTGTGTGTGTTACTTCAATGTTAGGTAACATGTCTAGCACTTTACGTACAAAATTGTCTAATGTAAACAAATCAGGAAGCAGGGATGTTTGCTAAGTCTTACAGTTCATTTGGAAATCAGGACTAACAGCTCTGCAAAATCAGCGTGTATATGGGTTTTTTTGTTCCCAATGACACCCAGGTATGATAATTGCCTCTTCACTTTGTATTTGAACTAAAACAAAAATTTTATGATGTTGACAAAGTACCCAGTTCAAAGAGAGGACAGATAAATAACAACCATAAATTGTTGACCAATTCCACATTTCACAAATCCCTCCTTTTGGAATATCAGGATATCCAATTTTCTGGGTGGTCAGGGAGAGAAAAGTAAAATAGATACGAAGCATAAGTAAATCTGTGATTAAGAGACACCCAGGATATTTTAAAGGGTCCGAGTTTATACCCGAGTATGTTAAATCTCTACCAATACAGAACCACCGGTGTGAATATTCCAAACCTGCTTGATAATCATTTTCTTAGCTAAGGTTGAGTACCATATACAAAGCCATGTGTGTATTCAGTGAATTGGTGTTCAGAGCAGTGATATCCTGGGCCTGCCTCTGTGATTAGCTTAGAGCCTGGACTTACACCAACTAAACACACAGCCTGGGGTCAGGATTGCTTATAATAAACCTCTAAATCAGAACTTATTGTGAGGTAATCTATTGCCGACCTCAATCGCCCTCCAGAAAAATTGTTAATTTTGGGTTTAAATTTCTCAATAATTAAATTCATTGAAAATGGGGAAACTGGTACCACTCTGGTTAAAGACGATCAGACCGACCCACGGTAATCTTAATGCTAATCTAAGAATTGCTTTTATCTTACAAGCACACGTGCAGATAAAATTTTAGGAGTTGCTAGGCAACATATTTTGGTGAGAAAATATACCTGTGCACGTTTGTGTGTAATCGATGCAGCAATCCCCCATAGTTACACATTCCTGATCACAAAAACATCTCTTTTGCTTATTATCGTTATCCATTCGGGGTCCATGAGCAAAGCATGTGTTATTTCGGCCCGGGCAGCAGTAGCGGGCCTCAGCACAAGTCCTGAAAGCTGAAACAGGCCCACTAAAATACACCGCGCACACAGCAAATCCAAGCAACAAAAGGGCACTTTTTCCAACCATGTTAGGTGTCTTTTTAAAGAATTTTCCTTATTTTTTTTCAAAAAGTAAAAATGTACACTTTTGTGTGTTGTTGAAGGCCTTTATCCTTGTTCTTCGCCTCCTCCCGCAGAGCGCTGCTGGTTCGCGCGATGTCTTGTACACACTGCCACGCGCTAGCGGTTCAATTACTCCACTCTTGCAAGTTTTGTGTTCTACTAGCTAGTAGGGGAAACTCTCAAAATATCCGTCACCAACCAGAACGAATGAATCACCCGTAAATAAAATATTGTCATTTAATGTTTAATTTTTCTCTTGTTAGTTCTAAGTACTACTATCAAAGATGCGGATAGTCCGAATGTTATATATACCTCCAACTTATGAATATTCATTACCACCAAACTTTTGGGTGTACAGGTAACTGCGCGCACCGCGAACACAACCCTTTACTTTACTCAGTGTCAGGATAATTGCACGATAATCATAACATCTTACTGTGATAATGAGATTTCATTTCCTAATGTTTACCACGATAAGACAAAATAGTCTTTCTCGCTTTTTTTCCAGGAACAATTAAAGACAATGTTTTCTTCTAACCCCCCACCCCTTTCTATGTAATTCGCCAGTGACAAAATTGTTTAACCTTTTATAATTAACTTGCTACCTTTCTGCGATCTGAGTTTTCCTCCATTTTAATGTGACATTTTTTTTCGAGAGATTAATAACGCAATTTACGTATGTACAGTCGCCATTGATTAATTAAAAAAAAAGTTTATAAATATATCATCACCAACTTTTTTCATTCATTCGATTTCCAATTTTACTTTAAAAAAAAATAAAATTCAAAAGAAAACCTATTTGAAACCCAAAAATATTAATTATACGATTTCTCAATTTTATAATTTTCTTAACTCGTACGCCTATATAAACCAAAGATTTATTTATTTCTAACAATTACAGTTCAATTTTTTTTTTGTTATGTAATATCACTCGTCTGTATGGGTACTTGTTCCAGAGAACAGCAATCGAACATTACAAAGTATTTTTCATGACCGCATTTTTTTTTTTTTTGGATCTTTTGCATTCCCGTTTTCTTAAATCTTGCATTATAGCAAAGATTAGAAAATGGGAGTTAACATCCTCACGGTTACTCTATGCTAACAAACCCAGAAAATTTGTAAATAATAAATGTAATGTTTAGTATCGCAAACTGTTGTCAAGTGACACAAATAATAAATAGTGCACCAAATGCAGATTATTCCTTTTCCCGATATTTTTTGAGAACAAAGAAAGTGAATCACGGTTCTTATCAAGAGGAAGTGAGTCATTGAGATTGCCCTGCATGATGCCATTAGTACAGGTTTGTATGCTATACAAGTGTCATAGATCACAGGGATCCTTAACTTCAGATTATACTCTTAATGGGTCATCGAGAGGGGATGTTGCTTCCGATCATCGTCAGCTTTACCGTTTACTTAACCGACGACAAAAGCGAGATAACTCTTCTATGAATATTCAATCCTCACAACTTCCCTTTGTATAAACAATGACCACGTGTTTCAGTCTATAGATGTTTATTCTTGTTCTTTATTACACATGTACGTTACTATTATTAGCTAAAATCCAATGTTATCACACCACTGGATAACAAATCTAGACCAAAGGAGTAGACAACGATATAGATGAATGATCACTGCTTCTAGCTTGATAATAAAGAGCTGATCCATCATAGCAGATTGTGTATATCAACAACACACATATTCAAGTTCTACAATCGTCCATTTATACAACACTGAATTCAATGCACAATAAATTGGCTATGGAACGTCATTAACTATTATAAATTCCTTTCAATGATACAATTTTGAGTATGTGCAACAATTCAAAGCTACTCTAGTGATACCATTGTTTAAATACCTATGAAATAAATAATTCTCATGCTTTATAGTAAAGCTCATTTAAATAACTGATTATTCACAAAAAAAATCACATCTTTTTAAAATCAAATGTCAGAATGAAGTTTCAAAAGTAGGGTGCAAAATTTCCACACAATAAAAATATTAGCCATCATTCAGGTAACAAATGGTGGAAAATCATGCTTAAATAGATGAAATCAGTTGATTGAAAAAAATTATAAAACATAACATTTGACTTTAACACTGCATCAACTCTCATGTGAAGCACTTTATATCAATGCATATATATACATATTTGAAAAGATACAAGTATCTTTAAACTTAAAATCACAGAAAAAATTAACATCTCATAAAATGATCAAAGATTTTGCAGGTCCCTCGGAAATAATGATTAACATCAGGATTCTTCAAAAATCTGCCAATAAATACAAATTACTTCAAGGAAAAATGTTGCCTCTGACATTTAGAATTATTTTTTTTAATTAAATCATAAGATAATACTAAACAGAATTTCATTTACTGATTGCCTGATTTGTCACTGTTTACTCTAACATAGATAGAATATTGCACTCGACATGAATTGGACCTGTTGTACAGCTACTATAAACTACTGCATCATAACACATCACTGGCAAACTTTTGAATCTCCCACATCAATGTCAATGATATCACTTGTTCACTATATACATCATGATTGATGCTGGAAATACTTGGTATGACTATGAAGTTTGTTCAGGGTTACATGCTATAGCCATAGGTGCCCATCCCTGGGTAGGCGGGGCCCCCATATGGGGGCTGGGGTGATGGGGCCTGAGGTGGGGGCATCATAGGTGAAGGTCCAGCAGTCAACATTAGCTGAGGCTCCGCTACAACAAAATAAAGGCAACATATACAACCGTGCTGAGTTCAATCAAAATTCTTCATCATACTTGCAATGTTGAACCAACTGCATGAAAGCTTAGTGAAAATTTGAATTCCTTTACACTTTGTTGCTGGACTAAATGAATCAAATTGAAATATCTTTACCAAAGACAATAGGCCTTTCTTCTGCTTTCTGCTCCTCCTCACTGCGGACATTCTCTGCTTGTTCCAGCTTATCAACCTGTATAAACGAATCAAAGTTTTTAATACATTTCTTTTCTCTCTCTACAAAATTTCATGAAAGGAAAATTATGTTATTTTTACCCTTCTTGTGATGTGTTTTAATTTAAACAAGAGGTCAATGGGCCACAATGCTCACCTGAGTTACTTTAATCCTGCTGTTCTGCATCAGATCCCCCCCAAACATGTACCCTTATGTATATTTGATCACCTTTTGTGACCTAACCCTATACACAGGGGCTGAGATTTGAACAAAATTGGATCTACACTACCACAGAATGCTTCCACATTAATACCATTCAAGAAATTTGCTCCTGAGGAGTTTTAAAAGATTTTTTCCAGTATAATCCCCATCGATTGATTATAATCCCTATTTTTTAATGACCCCATCCTAATTTTGCCTTTTATTTGATTATCTCCCCTTGGAAGAGGGCTTGGTTCTTCATTTTAATAATTTTGAATCCCCCTTCATTCAGGGATGCTTTGTACTAACTTTGGTTAAATTGGTTAAAATAAAGATTTTTTCCTGTATTATCCCTATTTTGGCCCCACATGACTCCCAGGGGTTAGGGCTGTCATGGTTCCAAAATTTTTCGGGTCGGGTCAGTTCCGTAAATTTTCGGTTCGGTTTCGGGTTTTTCGAGTCGGGTATTTACATCTATTTTAACCCTTAATTTCATGAATTTAACTTGAAAAATCTTTATTTGTTACATTAAAGAATCTGGGGGGATAAGGCGAGCCATGTGCCCATGCCCATTTTTCGGCTATGCAAGAACATTTATTGGAAAAAATCTCTCAATTGTTCGAATTTACTTAAGCATTTTAATGTTTACCGTAGTTTTCAAAATGATATTTATATTCTAAACAAGCTAAACAGTTGACTTTCATATACTGTCACAAATGTCTAACATGAGTAAGGACTTCTATTAATTAATCTGCATATTGAGTGTTTACACTTATTGTGGAGATATTATAAAAATGTTAACATCGTATATAATGATAATGGTGATCTAGAAGCGCTTTTATTTAAAATAAATAAAATGGGAATAAAAGTATTCAAATATCTATTATAATTTTTATCCGGCATTTTAAATAATTTACTGTAAATAAGTTCATTACTACATGTATATATTTTATTTCCAGTGAAAAATATGTTATTCCTACAGACATTTTTTATAAAGTAAAACAAAATTAAAACCAAAAAAAAAAAAAAAAAATCAACAAACAATAATAATAAAAAAAACACAAAAAATCAGAGCATGACTCGAACACTTTCCTCAATAAACGTCCCTTTAAAGAGCTCCTCGCTAACCACTAGACCACGGAGTCACACTAACATGTCCATTTAAATAGCATACAGTTTTCTATATTTAGCAAGCGTTTTTGGACTTAGAATTTTTTAAGACCACGGTGAAAATTTAAGTAAGTTAACTTAATTTTTTATGTAGAGTGGGTCTTCATACCAAATTTTTGCAAGTGTAAAAAGCAACATCTTTCCATTGCCTTTCATTAATCGTTCTCAAAAAAATGGTACGATGACCCAGTCTATTTAAAAAATGTAGTTATATCATCCAATTTATGTCAGTTTCTGTGAAAATTGAGCGTGATGCCATTTTGTTGTGTTAATCAGAATCATTTTCGCTGTTACAGTATTCAGGTTTTGTCAAATTTATATGCAAATGGTAATAAGCATTACATTAATTCAACATAAAATGAAATTTTTGTAAAATGAATTTATTGATTTTTTATCGATCGTTATGTAGGCATATGGCTCGGCTTATCCCCCCAGTTTCTTTACATTGGAAACAAGTCTGAACCATGCGAACGTCTAGACATCGGTGACTTGGCCTACTATTAGCCACAACCTGACCATTCCTGCTCATTTTGATAATTATCTAATACTTCCGTGACAAGTGTTTTGTCATGGAATGAAGTAGATTTCAGTTGTGATGTTTATTTATCACTGTTATCGTCATCGTTACTTTGATTTTGACACCATTTTTTGTATTGAACAGACTCTAATATATAAACCAGACCCGAACCGAAATCCGGAAAAATGGAACCGGAACCGAACCGAACAACTTGGACCGCGGTTCTCGGTTATTTCGGGTACTCGTGACAGCCCTACCAGGGGTCATGACTTTAATAATTTAGTATCTACACTACCTCTGGAAGCTTCCACATATGATTCAGTTTTTTGGTCAAGTGGTTGTTGGGAAGAAGATTTTTAAAGCTTTTTCCTATACATTTCAATGTAAACCTTTGATTTTTTTTTATTGTGGTTCCACCCTACCCCTGGGGCCATGTTTTGGACAATTTAGAA